AAATTATTCTTATATATGAACACAAATTGTCTAATATCTTTTTTTACCTAATACAATTGATCTCTACCTATCTTGAAAATCATTATGGAAAGTTTTATTATTGGTATTAATAGTTATGGTGGTGACATAGATGATGTGAAGCATCTTATTTAAATTAGGATTTTTATTTCCATTGTAGAGAGATAACCAATCTTTTTAAAAAAATTTAATCATGCCAATTATTTTCTTAATGTGTTTACACATATCAAAACAATTCATTATATAACTGGTTTTCACTAGTGAGTTTTTACTGGCGTGTTGACCTTCTGTCTGAGAAAATATATATTCTTTGACAGTATGTGTTAACACATCTATTTTTATGTGAATACCTTTAACTTAAATTTAGAGATACTATTTCATATGTACACAAATCACTTTATTCTGCATAGGATTTTAGATGGAATAGGATGTTATACTATATACTTGTTCAAGTCTTTTAAAGGTTAAACTTAACAGCTGTCTTTTCATCTACCCATATTCATATAATATTTTGTCAGCACTAATCTAGCAATGTTGAAAGGCTTTCTGTTTGAGTGATAAGATTCAGGTGGCATTTTATTAAATTTATGGATACAACACTAGAAAGAATGTCATGCTCTCAGAACTAGAGATGACCTCGGGGGAGAAGGTGTCTGTTTTTAGAGGCTTTCCAGGCTAGAATTAACAGGTTATAGGGCTTCAGTATTTTAAATTGCATCGATGTTCTTTTGTTGTCTTACTACCATTTTTATCCACTGTGGTTTTGAGAAATCTGTTTCTTTTGACACATAATAATCTCAAGATTTTTGTAGAGGAACTGTATTTTGTAGTGGGGTTATGAACTTTGGATTCACACAGACATGGGTTTAAACCTTGACTTTACCAGTTAGTTGCTATATGATCTGGAGTATGCTGCATGATCTCTCAAATCTTTCTTCTCCTTAATTATGCATGTAATACCAGTTCCTCATAAAGATATTGTGTGTTTTAAGCACTAAATATATCTTTTTTTGGCTACTCCTGGTCTCAGGATAAGTGCCACATAAGACCTATGGCTATAATAATATCAGTGGTATTAGTGTTAATGGTGTTAATATTGACTATTACTAATACTCATAATTAAAAATGGATTTGATTATTAATACTAATCATTATCAATATTAATGGTATTCATGCCATTCACAAGTTAGGGTCTCCTAGAATGTTCATGGAGCACTTACAGATTCTCATAATTTTGTCTTTTTATGATCAGCAATGTCTGCAACAGCTAGAGTGTCCATGCTGTTTTGATACATACTTAGATAATAGAAACACAATAATGGAAGCAGAGTTACTAATTTGGCAATATTCTTATGATTTTAAGTGTCATTGGTCAAAGGCCTTTGAATTCTGAGGATCACCAAAAATTTACTCATATTTTAGGAATTTTCCTTGTGATTAAAACAATGAATGTTCTTTAAATGTCATCCAAATTTGTGCTGAATAGCTTAAAAATATTTCAAAACTTTGCATTGTAGCTACAAGGGAATTCTACTCCAGAGTGACAACTAGGCCATGATTTATTACAGGATCTTTTAACATTATTTTGTCTGGAATGAACAGAGCAGTTGAAGAAACTCCATCTATCTTTTTGTTTATTTGACATCCATGCTGCATTAAATGTACCTCAAAGAAACAATATACAAATAAGAAATAAAGATTTTATTTATTTAGACAGAGACAGAGAGGGAACACAAGCAGGGGGAGTGGAAGAGGGAGGAGCAGGCTTCCCGCTGAGCAGGGAGCCCGATGTGGGCGCTCGATCCCAGGACCCTGGGATCATGACCTGAGCTGAAGGCAGACGCTTAATGACTGAGCCACCCAGGCGCCCCCTTAAACAAATTTTTAAAGCAAATATTTTAGCTTCATTTTCTTTCCAAGAGTTAGCGTTAAGAAGTGTGCTCAAGTGAACTGTTCTTTCTCTTCAACAAAATTAGCACCATCCCTCAAGCTTTCCTTATTCTTCTAGCTCAGTCGCTGATTATATATGATACGAGTAATTAGTGGAAATCGAACGTGCCCTTTTTGTTCATGTTTCTCAAAAAGGGGTAAAAAAAAATTGAGCAAGTAGATAAAGACGTTGATAAATATTTTGTTGTGCACTCATGCTTTTAGAAGGTGACCTTTTTTTCATTTTCTTGGAAAGCAATTTGGGGGGAAGAAGGGAGGGAATAGAGTAATTGGGGCAGGAAGAATACCTTTGTGTACTTACTCCTGAGAATCTTAGGACCTGAATGAGGATTCCTCACCCGGATTTTAAAGCACGTACCAGTGTGTGAATGAGGCACCTGTGTTAGCAACAATTGGTTGCTATCTTTGTTTCTTATCTGACCTTCTTCTCATTTATTAGGTTTACTTTGAAATATTTATTTGGAAATTTGATTTTTCTTTTTGTCTTACAGCTGTTAAATACAGATTCTGAAAGGATGGGAGAATTTTGCTTCCATTTACTATTCAGTAGATCTACTTTTTAATATTAGATTGTTGCCAGTACTCTACTTGCTAACCAGGCAATGTTTTCAGTAATACAGCCAGCCCAACACCCTCCTCCACGAATTACTGTCTAGCTTTGTAATGGTCTCTGAATAACTTGAATCTTTGTTTGACTTGTATCCTTAACACTGACTAAGCTGATAGATGCTATAAACTATATTATATTCCAGAATTCTAATTCTGAATTTTTATTGCTCATGAATAAAGACCAGGATTGATCCAGTTGGTTGTTGTTAGATCACAGAGATTTCTTGATCTATTAATCCTAGCAGTTGCTGACTAGTTGCATCATATATAGTACTGGAAAGCTCCTTCCAGGCTTTACAAATTCTAGAGGTCAATGGTGCTTGTGCTAATCAACATTCCATACAGGCTGCATATCTCGTTTCACAAGAAAGGAGCATGGTGAAGATATAATTAGTGGCAGTCGGGAGCTGAGAGCCCACAAAAGGGATGCTATTCCCCAGGCAGTCATTGCTGTCATGGGGGTAGGGGGGATAGAAGAGTTCACTATCAGGCTGCTTTAAAAAATACAAACAAAACCAAAAGACAGCTTTTATGCTATGTCTTGGTTATACAAGAGAAAATTATTACATTTATGAAAGTTGGCAACTTTTACTCTGGCCTTATCCATTAAAGATGATAGTGTGAAGGAAATTATGGATCGAAAGGTAGCTTAATAAATGAGATGAACATTCTCAATATATGTGAAAACAGGCTGAGAGATTCTAACTGCTTTTAGCATGCAAAAAATAACTTGTGAACTGGGATTACAACTAGGTCATATATTTGTATATAAAATATACATTCTATGTACTTGTTTGGGTTCGTTTGATCAGCTGTTGAGCTTTGGGGGTTAAAGGCTCACAATCTGGTGGGCCTAGACCATTATACTCCTCTCTGAGTTCTAGCCAGGTATATGCTCAACAGTTTATCCACCCCCAGGGGATAGAAAATTGGTTCTTGGGAAGCAAAAGTATCTTGCTGTTTTTTTTTTTTTTTTTAAAGTTTTTATTTATTTGTCAGAGAGAGCACAAGGAGGGGGAGCAGCAGAGGCAGAGGGAGAGAAGCAGGCTCCTCACTGAGCAAGGAGCCCAACGTGGGACTCGATCCCAGGGATCGAGTGGGATCATGACCTGAGCCGAAGGCAGATGCTTAACGACTGAGCCACCCAGGCACCCTATCTTGCTGTTTTTATGTGCAAAGCATAGATACACATACAGTACATGAACAGATATACAGGATACCTATGATTTTAAAATTTCATGGGTGCACATGATTAGGAAAAAAACATACCTGAAAATGCTCTTTGGCCAGCAATAATGAAAGAGAAAGATCGAGAAACATTTTTCTATGCCTGTATCAATCTACATCCTTTGTGGGCATTTTTACTTGGATGTTACTTAAAAGCTTCACACTCATTCAAAAGTGAAACCAGTCTCTTTGCACCCCGCACCCCACCCAAATCTGTTTCTCTCTCTTTCCGTTACTTCAATTAATGGTACCACCTGGGTCTCCACGGCCCCTCTGTCAGGCCCTTGTCTTTCCCTGCCTGTATTGTTGTTTCAGGTTTTTAAGTTCTTTCCCTGCTTCTGTTCTTTCCCTTGCTTTTTGTCTTTTATCCACACAGTGCTAGAGGGAGCTTTCTAAACTGTCAGTCTCATCATCTCTTACCCAGTTTAAAAACTCCCAATTCTGAGGGATCCAAGGCATACCTTTCCTCCTGTTTTCTGGTCTTTTCCTGTCTCCCAGCTTTATATCTGTCTACTCTCTCTATTGTCCTCCTCAACACACACTTCTTTTTCTGAGTCACTCAGACTCCTCAAATGTGTTGTTTTCTTCCTCAAGTGTGGCCTTTTTCAAATATTGCTCCTTCTCATGGTACGGCACTTTTGAATTTTCTCCTTCCCTTCCCTAATCCATACAACTTCCTGTCTACCAGTGTTCCAGATGTCCTGTCCTCTGAGGCTTACTTTGTTATTTTTATTCTACTGTTTGTCACACCATGGTAAATGTACTAAACAGCTTCTTGAGGAACAACTCTGTGTCTTATTATTGCATCTCTGACTCCTACATCATCTAGTAGGATGTAGGAAAAAAATTTAAAACATTTTTTTAAAAAAGGAACAGATGCCTGGGATTGTTTTAAGTACTATTATCATATAGACTTTCAGGTTATTCTCTTAAGTGTTTATCATGTATTTTTTGCCATAAAATGTTGCATAATAGATTGGATTAAGCTTATACTTTTCAACAAGTGTTAATGACTTCAAACAACAATACTTAAAGAGTAGCTTTTCAAGTACTTAAACGTTTGCAATTCAAAATAGAATTAACTAATTTTACAATTCATTTACTTCTTACCTACAAAATACAGTATTAACATTAGGTACGTAGGCAGATTACCGAAATATTTTTGACTGTTTTTTTCTCCCTCTCATCCTGTCTAGCTAAAGGACACAAAATCAACAGATCAGAAAACAACACTACTTCATTTTCTGGTGGAAGTATGTGAAGAAAAGTACCCTGATATCCTGAATTTTGTGGATGATTTGGAACATTTAGACAAAGCCAGTAAAGGTTTGTGCTTTTATAGAAAACATTTCACTGCTCTGAGTCTTCAGTTAGTACGTCAAGACAGAAAATAATGCCTTTTATTTGAACAAACTTGCTACTTTGCCACAGTGTTTTAAATATATTTATAAAAATATAAAATATATGTAGTTGTGTAGTTAAGCTTTATGAATACCTGCCCAGCCCCACCCTCTGCTGCTCAGCTGCCTCCACTGTAGCCATGGTAACCCTCACTTGAGTCAGTGTCCTTCACTTGGGGACAATCATTGTGCCTGGGCCAAGCCCCAGTAACCAGTGTCCCCAATTAGCCTAAGTTCTAAATCTGTCTCCACCCACACTGAAGGTAGAGACTGCCCTCTTTGTCCTAGTAGAGACCAATCTGCCAGAAATTCCCTTCAGTCCTTTCTAATGCCTGGATGTCTCACCTACTTCTGTCCCCACTGGGTTTAGATCAGGTTGCAAAGGGTCAGGATAGGATAGGACCTGTTATTAATAGTTGGTTATAATATGATTTAAATGCAAGTTTTGACCACTTGAAGAATCCAGTTTTTATTTATATAACCTATTCTGTGAAAAAATTTTACTTGCTCCAACCACCAATTTATGAATACACATTTCTATGAATATATGCATACTTCTTGGAAGACAACTCATTTGAAATGGTGGTATATCTGTATTGTCATTGTGTTGAAAACTGGCCATTAGAAATGTCAGACTATTTTTGTGTTGTTTGTTGTTTATTGTCTTCCTAAAATTGGAATTTGTCAACTTAAGAATAACTTCACCACCGCCCAGTTTTAGTGAATATTCCTTCTTAAAAAAAAGTCACCTTTGTCATTTTCTACTCCCTTTGTTTCTTCTGTAAAACTTCTTCTAGTAACACTCTATCTGCAGAGTGGTAATGTGATTGGATGAGATGTTCTTTTGACAGTTTTTCCTGAGATGTATGTTTCTTCGAAGTGCATATCTCATACAGCCTGTTGAGGTGGTGGGGGGTAGAGGAGAGTTAGAAAAAAGTAGTCTGGATTTTTAAGACCGAAAATAAGCTTTTTACTTTACTTTTTGCTCCTGCATGCTAATGTAATGATGTTGGAATTACTTACTTTGTCCTTGTGCTTCCTAAGAATGTCCTTGGTATAAGAAGATAATGACCGTATGTGTATGTATGTGTATATATATATATATATATATATATATATCTGGGTGTAAGTGTTTTAATGGAATTTAAGAAGGGAAAACAATTATTTTCTTATATTAAACAATGAGATAGGGCAAAAGTACACGGAGGAAGAAAACACATTAAAAATAACTCAGTGATACTCAAAATGCTTTTAAGTGATTGATTCATTCAGGGAAGGTAACTTCTCTAAAATGAGATTTTGGAAATTTTGAAATAAAAAGTAAACGGGCCAAAAGAGAATTGAAAAGTGGGAGAATTGAAAGTGATGAATGGTAAGCATGATAAGTAAAAGAATAGTAGATGAAAAAGTTGTGCATAATGCCTTGAAATATAGAGAGAGTTCTTTTTCTGGAGAAAAGATAGCTGCATAGAACTATAGCTTATACCAACATTAGGTCTTTGGGAAGAATTAAATCCGTGCAAGCATTTTATGATAATAACAATTTGCATTCCTGACCACTTCACCATCCTTTCCTCCTGGTTCTAAAACTGAACAGTGAGCTGGAACATACTTCTCTTTCAGATGTACATTTTAGTATAGTATTTATTTTCCAGCAGTGGTGCTCTAAATGAAGTTTTTAAAATACCATTTATCTATTTTGACTCACTTGGTTGTACTTAAAATTCTGTATTTTATTATTTTGCTTTTGGAAAACTAACTTTGATAAGGGCTTGAAGAGTTGTAGCTTGGTAATTAGATACTTCTGTTTATTTTCTTTTTTAATGTTGCTACCGGGGCATTCTAGGGCCTTGGAGGTTTTTCATTTCCATCTGTTAGAGCGGAGGCATGCATATGTGTATAGGTCAGCACATAGCATGAATGTGTTTCACTGGAAGCAGCCCACTAAATATTTGAAACAGAAAAGCCATCATCGAGATATAGATAGATAGATACACATGGATAGAGATGGATATAGATTTTTTTTTATATAGTGTAGGTGATTGTCGAGCATAATTTCTTTGTGTGATTATATTACCCTGTTAATGAACGAGATTTTAGCGGAATGAATGTAATAGTTTTGGATGAAGTAAGTCTGTGTTTGCTTTGGAAAATTTCAGTGCTTTTATATTATATATCATCATTTAAAAGTTTCCATATTTGAAGTCTCCTCAGTGAGCTATCACATGAATTAAAAAGTACCTTTGTTTTTGAGACATAACAAAATCCTGGCCATTAAGTCCTCGTGGATCAGCAGGGGGATCTTTCATTGCAACTAATGAGCTTACCCGTATGACAATTTTCCAAAAATCTACTTCATTAGGGCTGCTGCTTTTCTAAGAGAGTGGCTTATGGCTTTTCTGTTGTATTTCAGTGAAAATACTTTGGGTCATTATTGTATTTCTGTATACCATTGCAATATTTCTTTCTTTTTTTTTTTTCCTGGTCTTTGAAGGGTTGAATACATTGTTCTCTTGTCTACACAGTTGAAGTTAATGGACTCTAGTCTGTGAAAGTTTTATTGATTATTTCACAATAACCAGCTTCATTATTAACTTGGAATGTTTTTTTTATTAATGAGTAGAAAATATGACAAAACTCTGGGGGTTTGGAGCGTGTATTAAAGTAAAACCAAGGTAAGTTTATAATGTCACCTTGTTCAGCCCTGTCTCTTTTAGGGTTCGTGGATCTCTGCCATATATTTCTCTTCTTCCCTAGGTAGTCTAAATTCTAGGAATGCCGTGCAAGTCCAGTCTGTAACTAACTTCTTCATTTGATAAGCAGGTGTTGTGTGATTACTCAGTGTCAGAAACTGTGCCCTTGTCTTGCTGCTGGTCCAAGGTTTAGTTTCTGTGTCTCAGTGGTGACCCAGGGGACTGCACTGGCACCTGGCTCCTGTCCTAACTGGCTCCTCTTACACTCTCAGGATCCTTGACTTCCTCCTCTCCTTCGATGCAGCTTCGATGCAGCCAGTGTTATTAGCCTAAAACAGAGCCCTTCTTTTCCTTTCTCCCCATAATTCCTTAGGTGACCTCTGCAGTTTCCAAGGGCTTACATACCATCATTCGGTTAATGACTTACAAATTTGCACCCAGTCTTCCCTTCTAAGCTCCACACTTGCGTATCCACCAGCGAACTTGCCATCTTTGGCCACACCACATGCATAGATCACGGTATGCCATAAAATGCGGCTCTTAATTCCTACACCCATAACCGCTCCTTCCCAAGTTTTGTTTACTTGAGAAAATCCTTCCTAACACCCTCCTTTTGATTTCCCTCTTCTCATTCGCCTTGTCTCTTTACAGCCTCCAGCACGTCAACTGCGAGTTGCGTGGTAGATTCTAAGTTTCGTCTGTGGGAAGTGGCCTAGAATGTTGCCTCGTTCCCTCCTTGATCGAGCCACTTACAGTAAATGTCACCTTCCCTCTAGTGCTTTTCTCCTGGTTGTTCCGAGGAGTTTCAGTGTGCCCTACTCTTTCCTTAAGTATAAATTCATATGTTTTCCAGAAAATCTTCAACCACTGTCTAAGAACTCAGAATCTAGAGTAGAGACTATTCCTGGAACTACTGGAGATGGAATTCACTTCTAGAGAATGGGCTGCCTTCAGGGTATTGTCAGAGTGGATTTAATGATTCCACATTTCTAATGTTTTTCACTTTTTTCCATTTCCACATGTTTATTTTTTTTATTTTTTTAATTTTTAAAAAATTTTATTTATTTGAGGGAGAGAGAGTGCACACATGAGAGAGAGTGAGAGGGAGAACAGGAGTAGGGGGAGAGGGAGAAGCCGACTCCCCGCTGAGCAGGGAGCCTGATGCAGGACTCGATCCCAGGAGCCCGGGGTCATGACCTGAGCCGAAGGCAGACGCTTAACCGACTGAGCCACCCAGGTGTCCCCATTTCCACATGTTTAGCTTTTGGGAGCATTTTCTTTGATATCTTACATTTGATATTTGTCCTCTCCATTTTATTGACATCTCTGCTTTTAAGACTGTTTGTTTGCTTTTAGCTAGTAACTCCTTGGTCTGACCCAAATATTTGTCTACTCAGATACATCTCCAATTCCAGTGCCTCATGACTTTCCAACATTTTATGATAAATGGCTTACTAAATACCAAATGTTTATCTTTTATTCACCTACTGTGAGCACTTAGAACACTTCATTTCCAGGTGGCTGCCACCTGGAAATGTGTAGTGTTTGAAATTTCAAATTCATCTGCTCTAACAAGCAGAAAGCATTTTCAAAGGCTCCCATTAACCTTCTTATACTATACACTTCTAAAAATGCCAATTAACATTTATGAGTTTGATGTATATATTTTGAATGTTCAGGATTAGTTATTCAGTTGCATTTTAGACATTAAGTGTATACTGTAAGTACATAAAAAATACTCATTGTGCAACAGACTTAAATAACATTAGGTCATAGGTTGGGGCCTCACGATTTTGAGATAAATAATTCATCTGGTATTTCAAATCAACTAAGATATTAGAGTTTCATGAAAATACTCATTTGTGTGTGCATTTCTGCCAATATAGTGAAATCATTTGAAAGAACATGGTGGGGGGGCATTTATAATAATATATATATTTATATATATAATAAAATAATTTAGAGACGACAACCATGTAGGGTATCGTTTTAATTGAATGTCAATACAGGGTACAAAACTATATTCTGGTAGGAGCTGAATTCCGTCCCCTTGTGTCCAAGCCCTTCCTATGTGGAAGCATTAATCCTTAGTATCCCAGATCGTGATTGAATGTGCAGATAGGTGTTTAAAGATGTGATTATGTAAAACGAGGCTCTTAGGGTAGGCCCTAATCCAGTGTGAATTGTCTCCTCATAAGAGGAGGAAATTTGGACAGATAAACACCAGGGGTTT